TTCTGGCTTGTCGTTTATATGTCATTTTGTAGAGAATTGAACGGGGAATCTTTTGGTAGTAGAATCAGTTCGACTGAGTCTAAGGAAGAGGAGAAAGATTTAAATTACTAACAGCGCAGTTATTTATTGCGCATTCGTTATATATGATGCTGCTAAAACTGGAATTCAGGAAAATTCTAGCCTTGGTGAAATCTGGAATTTGACTAGATAAGAGTGGAATTAATGTAACAGAAATATATTTCAAGCTATAGAAGCAGAATAATACTTTTTACAAAGATCAATAGAAGATTGCATTGCCTTAAAGTCATTTTTTCCATGTTTTGTTCTCATCCCATCGCCTCCACCCCCAACTTTTTGCTCTTCGTCACACATAAATTTCTCTTGAAGAACGGACAAACTCTTGTATAGAATAAACATCAGCTCGCGCAGATAGTCACGGTCAATTTGACCAGGTAAAAATATTAGTTTCTAAGTAATGAAACAAAACAAAAAAGATCTGTTGCTTTTTTCCCATGATTATGACGGTGAGAATCACGTGGGAGAAACTGTTTAATCTCTCAGCTAAGAAAGCTAGATAGATTTGCAAGACTCACCGGCAGCATTAAACGGTCCTGCCTGGAATTCATTTTTTTCATGTACCGTTTTAAGTTTCGTTCATCTGAAAATCGGTGATCTATACGCAGTTTTACATGGAGAATCTAATTAGAACTGTATCAAAAAACAAAAACAGTGAAAAAAAATGCAAATTTCGCTTATTTGCAAACCTACCTAAGATTTTTAGCTGAGAGATGAAACAGTTTCTTCCCATGTGGTTCTAACCGTCACACCCATGGGAAAGAAGTAACGGATCCTTTTTTTTAGTTTACTTGAAATATATTCCCGTTACATTAATTTCACTCTTATCTGGTCAAATTCCAGATTTCACCAAGGAAAAGTGGAATCGGTATATGTATGGATCTTAGTTTTCTCTAGGAAAAACTTGGATTCCAGTTTTATTTGGCGAAATCTAGAATTTTCCTGAATTCCAGTTTTCGTCACAACATATATATATATATATGATAAGAAAATAATAGTGCTAAATGACTTGTCGACGACACAACTTAAAACTGGTCGATTAACACTAAAACGCCCGTAGCGGTTCATTTTGACCATTTTGTAATTTTTATCCTTAATAAGACAAACTGCATACAATTTATTTAAAAATAAATTATGTCATAACTTTTAATTTGTCCTACAAAAATTATTTTTTGCAGAATTTTTAATTCATTTTTGAATTCGGAACCATGTTTAAGTATAAAATTTTAAAAAAAAACAGTAACGGTCAAAATTACCGCGTTGGGCGTTCTACGTCATGAAAATTTCCCGGCGTTCTAGTGTTAATTATGGTCGGCTTAGACTTCCATAGACATTCTCATAAACCCACCATTCATTAATAGATGGCTGAAAGGTCTATCGGATTGTCCAGGATTATTTTGTCCAAAAATCTCTTTGGCTTATCTAATAGGCTCTCTGTTTCACATTTTTGGAATACAACATTCAATGCTACACATCTTTCTGGATATTAGTCTTTCATTTCCTCCAGTTTTTATACAGTCGACGCATGATTGACAGCAACATGTACTTTACAAAATGACTAAGAGGAGCAAAAAAACTAAACGACATATTCAGTTTTCCATCACTATACTTTATACACTTTACCGCTAAAGAGGTCTCGGGACAAATTTTTGTATTTTCTCCCATATCTGATGTCTGAGCTGCAGTCTAGGTCATGACGTGTAAGTAAACATTTTATTTTACCTGGAAATGTCTAGATATGCTTCACACGCATTTTATAAAAAAACGAAATGAAAGGAAAGAACAAACGCAAAACAGAATTTTTTCCCTTTTAATGACGTAATGTTTATACAATAAGAATGTGTCAAAAAGAATGGGAATTCTAGATACCAACTGCCTTTCGGGAAGATTGAAAAGCCGACAGAGTGAACATTTCTTAAAAATCATTCAGACACCGTTCAACCCCCTTACATAAGCAGTACTGCTCAATTATTAGGCTTTCTATTCGTCTTTGTCCTAAATCTCTACTATTTTGGAATAGCTGAGAACAAGTGGCTGACTCGAGCAAGAAAAGTTTGTAGAAAGAAGACCTTTTAATGATGAAATAGAATAAGTATCCTCGAGTTTCACTCAGTCGGTTTAAATAGAACATACCACAGGGATATTAACCTTTATGTACTTCAGATAATTATTAGTAAAGTTTTTTTATAACAATCCTCGCAAATTTGAGCGTAAAAAATCAACACAATGAGTTTGAAATCGACCGTCATACCAGAAGAAGAAGTTATCCGTATGTATTTATCTGTTAAGAGATTGGTGTTACATTTATATCTCAAACAGTTTCTGTCTACTGGAATAAATTATCAACTGATTATTATTCTTTAGATAATGTGCTAAGTGAATATGGGGGTAATATTGGTATGTATTCACTTTTTACTATGGAAGCCTGTTGTATTAGTGATGTTTTCAAATTAGAGCACTTCATCAGTAGCTGTGATTTGAACGATGATACAAGTATGTTCGACATTCCATTACCATCGCCGATATCAGAATCAAGTAGAATATTTATAGTCGCTGGTAAAATAATTTAGTTGTGCTGTTATCTTAAATTTATTTTTAGATAATGAAACTCTTCAAAATAATCCGTCAGCTACAAATTCACCGGTATACGGCTTACAGCAAAGTAGCTATGTAGATGATTTTTTAATTCTATTCAACAACATTCCATCACTATCGACGACATCGGAATCAAGTAGAATATTTATAGTCGCTGGTAAAATAATTTAGTTGTGCTGTTATCTTAAATTTATTTTTAGATAATGAAACTCTTCAAAATAATCCGTCGGCTACAAATTCACCGGTATACGGCTTACAGCAAGATAGCTATGTAGATGATTATTCAACTCTATTCGACAACATTCCATCACTATCGACCATATCAGAATCAAGTAGAATATTTATAGTTACTGGTAAAATAATTTAGTTGTGCTGTTATCTTAAATTTATTTTTAGATAATGAAATACCACTAGGTCTTCAAAATAATCCGTCAGCAGCAAATTCACCGGCATACAGTTTACAACAAGGTAATACTGTAAATAATCAGGATGAAAACATTTCGTGTTTACAATGGTGTAGAATATCGAACAATGAAACTAAAAAATGAATTTTTACACGGCTGAGAGTGAAACATAGTTTGATAGACAAGAAGAAAACGTATGCTTCGATCGGATCTTTTGGTAACATGTCAAAAGCTCTAAGCATTGAGATACTGAGACACGATCTAACGTACATTTTTAGTTTACGTAAATGATTTTAACTATCAGAGTCTCGAATACTGACGCAGTATCCAATGTACAATGAGTAGTAGTTACAAGAGTATATAATTTATCAAGAATTTGATATACCTCTTATTTAGCCGCTAAGTTAATTGAAGAACAAATGAATTGTTAACCAGAATTTGTAAAAGAAACTAGAAAATAAATTCATTTCTATAAGTCCTGGTTTACAACTCATCCGTTTACAAGAAAAAATATAATAGACAAAAAATTGCTTGCTATTTTCTAGTATCATTTCCAATTAGTGTCCAAGAAGATTTACGTGCGGCGGAACAAATTCAAATTATTGCCCAGCCGGAAAAATTTTATCATCCCAGATATCGGACGGATTTCGATAAAGAAAAGAAGCGTGCACCTCGTTACATGCATTCAGAAGGAGGAAACATAAGTCATCCCACAATTAAGGTAAATATGCGTATAACAAGTAAAATGATTAATCGACGTTTGAGCGACTACGGCAGTTGAGCGATTCCTTATACAATTATACACATACATTGTATCTCAATTTTCAGCTACTTTAAACTCATTCGTTTGCTCGAACCATAAGTAATTGTAGTTGTTCAAAATGATTTTGTATATCTGATATTCTTGTAATTATAATATTTTGTTAAACTAAGTTCTATCTCATAGATTTTCACCTTTTGGAATTGTTTTCTTTTCCTTCATTCTCATTAATACTCCCTCCCTCATGAGAAGTGAAAAATCTATCCGATTTTGTTGATCAAAGAAAAGTCATATTGAAATATCGTGAAACATCCGTCGCTCAAACATCGAAGTAAAAGATCTCAGTTCAAAAAAAGTTGTTTGTTTACAAATAAATTCGTCTTCGTCTAATTTTTAGATTCCATCAGCGCATTTTGATGCAAATAATAATTTATATATACGTGTCTGTTTAGTAACAGTTCAGACAAACAATTTACCGCATTATATTCATCCATATTCGTTAGAGGTGCCTGACGCATCAGATAATAAAATCATTCAAATTTCAGAAGATAGTGCCATTTATTTTCCAATATCACAAGCAGATTTAAATTCAGGCGGCATCAAAAGGTTCAAAAATTAGAAATAAGAATTTTAATTTAGTGTTTCGTACAATCTCTTAATATTCAATACTTTAATTTTCATTCTTGTAATTATTGAATGAATGTGATTCTGTAACATACCTTTTTATTATTATAGTTTCACTCGATTGATGCTCATTAAAGCGAAACAAGACGATTTGAGAAAATTGAAGTATCCATTACGTCCATTTGATAATCTCAGTGAGTATGAGTTTTCAAATTTCTATCTACATATGTTATACGGTATAAATAACGTAACGGAAGAATCGTAATAGAAGCTTTTAGAATAAAAAGAATAGCCGTCTAGCTGAGAATAATCTGCAAAATACATGTATCAACTAATAAGAAGCGCTGACATATGAACGTCGTATGATCAGTGAAGTTTATAGTACATTTAAAAATAATTTTCTCTCGTTTTTGACAAATTTTTTTACTCTGAGTTGAACATAGCCTAATGTGAATGAAATCTGGGATACAAAATAAGATCATTCTCAACGTTCTAATGCTCTTAACAGTGGTGGTTCCAATCCGCTCATATTACGACTTCTCGAAAAAATGATCTGATCTAGTCCAAATTTTTACTACAGATACATCAGACCCTATTGCAGATTCTAAATTTTTTAAAAGCACTCAAACTTGAAACTTTCGTTGTAAGATGGTTTTTGAAATCAAAAACCGACTTTTTACATAGGATTTTTAGCATTTTTTGAATATTCTGAGAAGAAAAGCATGTTTTTTTGAAAAATATTTCGAATCTGAGATAGGGTCTGAAGTAACTGTGATGAAAAAATTTTTTTTTCAACTAGACTATTTTTGCCAGAGGTCGTAACATGAGTGGATAAAAGCCAAGGTTTCCTGAAAATCTATGGAAAAAACTGTCAGAAAATTTTAAACAAAAATACACCGATGTTTGGAATAGTGCATGGAATAACACCTTTACATTACATGAACTACTTTATTGAATTATTTTAGATGGAAATGGTACCACTACTATTGACAACAATCAAAACTACATTTCTAATCCAAAACTTATGATCAAAGAATATGAATTATTTAAATCCCAATTGGTATTTACTGTGGTTCAATTACGTAGCTCTAATCCACCATTTATATTTTACCCATTTTTAAATACATCAGTTTATTCTCAAATAATGACCGAAGGAAATGACCAACAAGGTAAAACAGTCCTTCTTCACCATCACGATACTATCATTTTATTTTATAGAAGAACAAGGTGCTCCGTGTCGAGTTTATAAATATGCACCAAAAATGGGTGGCTACAATGGCGGTGATGATATTCTTATCTTTCTTACAACTAAAATTGATAAGAAAAGTAATAAATAAAGTTTTGAAAAATTTATCTACTATATCATTAATATTCTAAACTTGTTTAGATTTACGTATACAATTTGAAAGTCGTGACGGGCGTGTAGAAGTGAAAGAGATTGATGTTAAAGATAGAATGATAGCGTTTAAATCACCAGCATATTCGGCCAAAAATCTCAGTGTTCATACGGATGTTGAAATTGTTTTGATACAAGATCAAACAGAAATTCAACGTTTACAGTATTGGTATATGCCCGAAAATATTTGTATGTTAATTACAATCTATTTTTTTTATTTTGGCAATAATCATGTGATTTTTGAAAATAATTTTCAGTTTATGCAAATACATATTGTCAAAACTGTCAACAAATATATGCAAATGATGATTCTGTTCCAATGAATTCATTATCAAAACGTCGTGCGTGCGCGATGGATGAATATGTAATGGGTAGTACAACGGATCAAGTCACACCAAATTTGGAGCATTCTGTTTCGGCTCCGGTTAGTCATAGATACAGTTTACTTTTTAAATTTTTAACAATTTCAGATTTTAATTGCAGTTGTGGATAAGTATTAACTACGTGAGATCTGTTGTCTAATTTTTTTTATTTTTATTTTAATTTAGGCGACTATTAAACATGAAGTTAAAGAAGAACCAATTTCGCAGAGTAGAGGTGAGTCTTTGCTATACTATTCTTGTTCAAAATGTATATAGTGTATTTGATTACGTTAGATACTCAACAAAACGCAAGGATGTCTGACAAATTTTTGGATAATTTGACGTCATCATTCCGCAATTTATTAGTGGAAAATGATGCTACACCGTTATTTAAATGTGCTCGAGTATTAATTTTTAAGCGCGAAGAAAATTTATTGGAAAAGGCCATTTTAAATGGTCATATAATGTTAGCAAAACAATTGATTAAAGTGACACCAGTTGACATATTAAAACGTAAAAATGAGTGCGGTGAAACTGTTTTGCTAGTAGCAGGAAAACTTAATAACAAAGATTTAATCGCATCACTATTAGAAAAACATTTGGATTTAGTCAACGATATCGATAACAAAAACAACAATTTATTTCATATTTTGGCGGCGGTTGATGATGATAAAGCGTACAATACAATTGAATTTGTTTTCAATTCTTTGAAACAGCAAGAATCGATCAATGTGACATCGTTTGATAAAGAAAATAGTGAGCATTTGACACCCTTACAACTGGCTATTTTACATCATAATTTAAATTGTGTTAAATTATTCGTTTCAAACGGAAACTTTAACGCAGATGTACGTGATCAATCGACCGGTGATAATCTAATTCATATGGTAGTTAGAAATAGTGATGATTTATCAACATTAACGTATTTAGTGAATGATTTACATTTGAACGGTGAAAATATAAATTTTAAAATGACCCCATATGAATTGGCCAAATCATTAAATCGAACAAATATTTGCAATTTTTTAAGTAAAAAATATCCTACTTATGAACCAAAATCAGATGATAGTGGTGACGAAGAAGAAACGAATTAAATATATCTTCACTCTTAAATCATTTCTTATTTTATTAACATTATCTTTTTCTGTAATAGTTTTGTTTTTAAACATGGTTCGCTGGGAAATGATATCTTTTTTCTTTTGATAGCTGTTATTTTTTGTAAGAAGAGTACAAACTTTTTTCTTTATTTTTAGTAATCGAAATAATCATTTATAATGTAAGCTCAGATGAGATATAAACTCTTTTAATGTTCTTGGAGATCAGACGAAAAATCTGAAACAGTGTCAGTTTTAGGAAGACACGAATGAACTGTCCTGAAAAAAACACCTCTTCGTTTTTCGCTAACAAAAGAAATTCATTTATATGTACTAAACGGAATATCTTCCTCGCCGACCTCATTGATAACTTATATTTAAAATTATTGCACCATTAGCATTGCCATTAGAATAAGTTGAATAGCGGAAAAAATTTATGTATATGGGATAACTTAGCATGTTCTAAAATCTAGAGAGATCAGAAATTTATTCTGGTGAAATTTTTAGACATACGTCAGACTGCGCCAAAAATATTCTGTAGTTATGAGTTTTTTTTTATTAAAGATATTTTTAGCAAAAAATAGGTTCACAACTGCCCGTATTTTCTAATTATTTCTGAAATAAATTACTAGTAAAAGAAAGTATATCTATCACCCATATAGTACTTTGATTTAAAGCAATTTTAATGCTTGTTAAAATTGAGTATTTAAATAGATTTTACGTATATATATGCACCTTAAAGTATCTCTTCTAATATCCATACACGCTAAAGTTATCGATAGATTGTTTTTTTTATTTTCTTAATTCTTATAATTCTTCCAATAATTAATATCATAATTAGTATACAGAATTTCAGACAACGTGTTCTATGAGGGGTTTCATGGGACCTTTTTTTCCCTATTTATAGTGTTATAACTCCATGCTTTTTCTTAAATTATGGTGTTACAACGCTATAAATTTATCTCATTACAACGCGATAGACGTAGCCCAGCGTGTTATAACACGTTACAAAGTTATTTTTCCGGACTTTATGGCGTTGTAATTGGATAAAGATTTTCAGTGCATTACAACTCTATAAATTTATAGCATTATAATACGTTTCAATTTTTTATCTCGTTACAACTCACTTAGATTTGTCTACCGCCATATAATACACTAGATGTTTTATTAATTATAACGCCATAAAAACTAGTTTAGAGTATTTATAGGATTATAATGCATTATATAATGACTACGGCATTGCAACACATTGGATTTTAATGTATAATAACGAAATACGATTTTTTTAATGATTTATAACGTTCTAAACATCTCGTAATGTATTATAATGCATTAGTTTCTAATGAGTCGCAATGTCGTAGACATTATATAATGCATTATAATCCTATAAAGTTGAGAAAAAAATTTTTAACGTATTGGAAGACATCTTTCGCGTTATCATGGTGTAAATTATCTCTTCTTCTACGTGCTCAAAAACTTGAATTTTGAATAATCTAGCTCTTATTACTTATAACACTATCTTCCACGGTTTTTTGATTCTAGTGAACGAAATGAGGAGGAAACATAAACAATTGTCATTCATTCTCATTGCCAATTTTTTATTTCCTGTTCACTCATTGTGTTTTGTGTTTGAACGGTCCCAGTTCTTTTTTTGTACATCCATAATATCATGACGGGTATTCACTTGAGCGGGCGCTTTCTTTTCATCACAATCATCTCTGAAGATAATTTATCCGATCAAAAGTAGATTACTTGTCTCCTTACTTGCCAAGTGACTGAGATTAATTTCTATATTAAATTCATATGAGCACTGTCATACTGAAGTAGATTAGGTTTAAAACCTTATGTTGAAAAACGAATAAAAGTTAGAGTGCTCAGCCCAACGTCTACTCTGAAGGAATATACTTTTATTTCCGAAGTAGACTAACGAGGGAAGATCTCCAAGTGTTACTCTCACTTTTTGATGGGAGATATCCTATTTGTAAAGCTCTATGAGATGATTAGGATGACACAAACCAGTTTCCCCCATGGCTGTAGAAGACCCGGTTTTCTGGAAAACCAGTTTTTCAGAAACTCTAAAAAATAACTAAAACCTATCTTAACGAGGTAAAATTGTAGCGCGCACATTTCTGATTAAAATGAGATGTCTCCCAGCTCTACACGACCTTTTTTTAGCAAAGCTGTAGAATTTACAAGAAAAGTCCTAAATTAATTTCGCCTTATTTCTGTAGCTTTCAGCTGACAATGAACATTTAGGGCTTTTGTTGTAAGATTTATAACTTTGCAAAGAAAGGTCGTGTAGAGCTGGGAGATGTCTCATTTTAATCAGAAATTTGCGAGCTACCATCATGCTTCATTAAAAAAAACGTTTAGGTTATTTTTTAGAGTTCTTGAAAAACTGATTTTCCAGAAAACTGGGTCTTCAAGAGCCATGAGGGAAATGCTGTTTGCCATCGTAATCACGGTCATTTTCAAACGTAAAGCTGATTGTACATAAAAGTAAAACCTATATATACAACTTGTTTTCTTTTTCCTTTCTTTTCTTTTGACGTACTAGTCTGAAAGAAAAGATTCACAACCATTATAGAACACATGTGTTTTATATGCGCATATAAAAAACTAGTCAGACATCATTATCAATACATGATCATAAAGTATTTTTCAACCTTGACCTTCTCGATTGTAAGCCCTACCATCTTCTTTGCTTGCCACTTTCTCAAAGCCGTCAGGGAAAACATACAGCGGGACAGATCGATCTGTTCCATTCAAAACTGGTGCGGGAGAACGAATCAACAGTGACTCCTGTAGTCCTTTCGTTTCTCTAGAATTTAGTTTTCTGTTTTTTGTCTTACCTATATGTACATATGTGTACGCGTGATCTTTTAGTATCATACTGACTGTGGTCCATTTTTTCTTTATTTTCAATTTCGTTTCTCTAATTTTCATTCTTGCGTGTTGTCGGACCCAATCGAGAAGCATTTGTGGTCGTATTTTCCGATGTTACGATTGTTTTCATTATTCTAAGTGGTCCTTCTGTACTCCCCGCTTTAATCAACTTCTCCTGTTCTTTTACATATTCTGAGATTCTAGTTTTTAGATGACGATAAGTTTTCCCTATATAAGTTTGACCACATTCACTGCATCTTGCTTCATACACTAATCCTGATTTTAAATGAGTAGATACAGAATCTTTCGGACTAAAACCTAAGACTATTTTAGATGTAACATTATAGTTATTCTAACATTTTTATTTAGGTAAATTCTATTCACCGCTGCTCCTCTTGCTGCTCTCACCGCTAATCCTCTTTTATTTTTAGCTAAATTGCGAATGAAGTCGAATTCTTTGTGGAGAGAACCGAAGGACGAGCAGATCTTCACAGCACGAAAAGCCATTGTGGGGATTGCATTTTGTTTATAATGTTCAGGAACGAAACGGTGCCACTTGGTCGATAAACCAGAGAAAGTTTTTTCCCGATAAACTGCAGTTTCAAATCCGTGGGCTTCGTGTAACGAGCACATCAAGAAAAGGAAGTGTCCGCTTCAATGATTCTTCTTTATGTGTGTAGTTAATAGACTTGTGACACGAGCTTTTTCCACTTAACGCATTACTAGTGCGTTACAATGCATTAAAGACATGTTTTTTCTAAAGTTATCGCGTTGTAGCACAATAGAAAAGTTAATTAAAAGGCATTACGAAATGCCTAGCGCATTATAATGCAATAAATAGGAAAAAAAGATCTCATGGGTTAAGAGATATAAACTTTCTTGTCACAAAGTTGGGCTGTTTAGTTGTTTTTAACCAGTTTTGAGGCTCCGAACTGTGTTCTCTTCTAGCAAATGTATCAGGTCTACGGACTTTCCTTCCTGTATAGGCTCTGTATACTGAATATAAAATTGCTGTGTACTAATTTTACCTTTAACGGAACCTGAAATGGATGCTGTATCTTAATTGCATCATGTTCCCGACAAGCAAACTGGGTGAAGCATGGTGAAATCAGCGTCCGAACTGTCTCAAGAAAAGTTTCCTAGAGAGAAATCTTTCCTGACCCTGGAACTTCTTTCACAGAATCTGACAAAATCTGCTTCACGTCTGCTTAGAATCAAAAAACAAATCCTTCACTGACTCATAAACTTTGTCAGATGGACGTAGCCAGATCTCCTCCTCATCTATCTCGATCGTGACATAGTAATGAACTAATGAATCGTGATTGCCTGCTGACGCTGAAGCTACCAGACTGAATGTTGTTTTCATGGGCAAGTATTTCATACGCTTTATATGTCGAAACAAACACGTTCACGTAGCTAGTGTGGAACCACTTATTGCAGCGAACGTGGTATAACGCACTAGAATCGTCGCTAATAGTGTTTTAACACGAACAAGTAACCAGATGATTGTCGTATGATCATGGAGAATTGTCGATTTCTAGCACTTGAGAGAGTCGGAACTAGCTATCTCACAGAAATGTAACTGAAAAACGACCATATATATCATTTCCTTTTTTGTACTGAATCAGTTAGAACAAAGTCTGCATTACACAGTGAAGGAGACTCATTCACCAGGCTAAATGTTTCATGAAATTGTCAAACTGAGCAAGAAACTTTTGGTATGTAGTGTGGTTTTAACATCCCTTTTTTCTTTAAACACACGGATTGCTAATTGTACACTTCTCCTGTTAACATAGTAACGTTTAATATAAATGACGCATACTAATGTATTTATTTATATTTTAATCTATGGTCCATCTATCCCCTTTCTCAAGGACTCAAGGAAAAAACTTGATTTTTTTACTTTTTATCAATTGAAATATGACACTGCAATATTAAACACAAATAACTGCTTTCTAAATCTAAAGACTAACTGTCTGTCTGCTCTACTGAAACATGCCTACTGTGAGCTAGTTGGCGTCTAGTTTATCCTTATCCTTCGCTATGTGTGTGTGTGCTTAGTTGAGTTCACATATTATTAGATGACGTCATTTATTTGCTATAGTAGTAGAGTGACACATGAGTAAAAGAAAAAGAAATACAGGGGAAAAAACCAACTAAAAGCGGAAGCAGAAAAGTATACTATTGTCGTTGCTTTATTGTATTCATAAAATAAGTTTAGACATAGGTATGTTTAGTATCATGTAGTAAAACGAAATGTTATTGTAACAAAAAAATGAAAACCTAACTATTATAGTATTTTCTCTTAGATTTTCTTGATTAGTGTTTGCATGTTCTAAGTGTCAATATAATATAGTTATAGTTTTTGTTCAAACTTTTTTTATTCAGCTATAGTTACCTCTCAAGCAAGAATTGAAGATCATATACTGTACTTGTGAATATGTCGTCTGTACGTTGATAAACTCAATAAAATTAAACGAGTATGCTATTGTTTTTGCTTTTAATTATTCTAAAATATTAGAATTATATAACTGCGTCGTTTTTTGCGTGTTAAGTTCGTAAGGTAGAGGATAATAAATATATATTAAAATAAACAACATATTCTCTTTTGTATTTAGCGCTTTTGATTTTATGTAACCAAAATGACCAAAAAGAATTAGATTTTTGGGATGGATTCAGCAGAAAACATCACTGAATTAGGTAAGTTTTAATGTGTATTTTCATTAGATTTTTCAATAAAAGATATACAGTAAACAATTACGTACCCGAAGGTATACCACATTTTTAACTTGTTTATATTATTATATTCTTCAGTTGTCTAGTGCCACCACTATAGAACGCAGAATAGAAATCTAATGTAAGTGTTTGTCATTTTTTAGAACCTAGAATTGTGAGTCATCATTTAGATGAGATTGATATGTTTTGTGATGTCGATGTATCAGGTGAAATGAGCAATAAACTGAAAAAGAGTTTCATTATTCACTAATTTATTTTGTAGATTACAATCTTCTACTATGCGCTAGTCCATTTACGGATAATGCGTTCACTGATCTTTTCGATGAGGTGCCTTTGTCAACGACCAGTATAACATTAAACAGTAATTATAGTATATTGGTATTTGTTATTATATCTGTTTTATGCGTATACTCTTGTACATATTAGAATCTGCTGAATTTGTCGAAAATATTCAGCATGGTATTAACGCCGATGATAATGGAACTGGAGACAGTGAGTTATAATGAAAACTTCATATAAATCAAATTTTATGTTCTGTTAATTTATTATAGATGATATGAAGGAACAAATAGTACAGAATAAGCTAATACGGACATGTGAATTGAGTACACATTGTGCGTGTGCTGCTTTTTATATCAGTTAAATGTGATATTTTCCTCTGTTCAAGGTTCACCACCGACACATTCAAACCGTGTGAAAGGTAGTTGCAGTCATTATGATACAGTTTACTGCTAATGATGTTGTTTTTGTCACTATTATACAGTTATCAGTAACGATAACAAATTATATAATGATGTATCACCAGGTAATATTCAATTATCAAAGTCTGTCGGTGTTATCAACGCATTATCAAAGCAATTACAACTTGTATATCCATTAGAAGAAACATTTCGGTTACGGTATAAAAGTGATTATTTTCCACAAAATGGTCATGTTAGAAAACCACGTTATGTTTCAGATGGTGTCGGAAATCATTTTGTATCGTTAAAAGTAATTTTATTATTCTGTTATAAAGATAATATTAGTTTTCATCGTATTTTAGATACCTGCGGATTATATAAATAATCTTACAAATACATATATTCGTGTGGCATGGTTAACTGGACTCGTCAATGATAAACACTATTATAGTCCATACAAATTTCAAACAAATAATTATAATTCAAAAACTCCCGATGAAAATCCCATTTACGTACCGGTTAATAATAATGCACTCGACGATAATGTGATGAAGTTCGTGAAATACTATTCGACTATTGTTATCTTATTAACGTTTCACTTCAGATTACATTTGGTTCTGATCAGATCTAAGCTTGACCAGTTGAAACAAGCACAACCCTTAAAATCATTTATTTTGTCAGAAGCTGAAAGTAGGTAGTAGATTTTTTTGCATTGTTATTCGTTCGTTAATAGTTGCAGTAAAAAGCGGAGTATAGATTTTGGATAAAGACTTCAAAATAGTTTTGCGATCGTTTTTTGTACGAACATGGACATGTTTTTGATTTAGACGTGACTTCAAAGCCATTAAATCCTAAAGATCTAATTGAAACATATAAATTAGAAAAATCTCATTTGGCATTTACACTATGTACGAAACAAAACGATAATACCTATATTCCACATATTAAAACAACAGTTATGTCAGACATAATGACAGAAGGTGAGTTTCGATAATTCTAATAACAAGATTCTTTCAGTTACTTTTTGTTGCATTTAGAATCGCTATTAAAGCCTACCGGTATGAATACACATCCTACCGGTATGAATCACTTATATCCAACTTGTAAAACGAGATTTCTCTAAGTTTGTTTCTCGTTTAGAGAAACGACAGTTGTCAAGTCCGTCTCTATTTTTATCCATATATGGAAAAATTGATAACTTTTCTTTACTCATTTTTAGCTAAACAAACCCATAAATTTGCGTGCCCAAATTGTGCACATTGTTTTATTTTAATACCACCGAATATAGAACCATTTCTACCGTATCAAAGCGAACTTAAAATTTTATCTGGTAAACGTAAAATAAATAATCGAGTATCATCGATCAAAAAGGTATGAAACTCTGTTCTTTTCATAATATTGTGTTTGAGGAAATTATGAATTTTAATTAAGAAATTCGTTCAAGTAAAATAGATGAAGAAATAAGATATTGAAGGGAACTATCGGTAACGAACATACTCACTTTTTTCACAATATTTATTTATTTTTACAACGCTGAAAGAGACAGAATGAAGTTTTCAAATTAATCCTTTTCTTTCTCAACCCATTAATATTAACTATGTATCTTTTATTATATTTATTAATCTCCCATATTTATATGTATCAATAGTAGTTCTTTTTGTAGTGATTATTACATGCAAGCGCGTGATGGTGTTTTATTAGTTATCTCAACATTATATGTATGTTTTATTGTATTTAAGTTAGATATACACTGTGACACTCTAAATAGAGTGATGACCAGAGCCTATTTTAATAGTAGATCACTGCCTGGGAAGCCCGTCAGAAGTAGGAATGTTCAGTTCTCGGTTTTCATTAAGAATCGGAACTGCGATTCTTTTATTTTCTGTTCTTCATCGGGAGTCTGAACTGCAATTTCTCAGTCGGTTCCTTTCTTTCGGAACCGAAACTTTTTGACTTCCCTTTCTTTTGAGGTGGCAAGGGCTTTATTCATAAAGAACAGCCTGAATAATAGTATGTACACCAGGGCCCATGACACGAAGTCTTATGCCCAAAAAAGGAAAAAGGAAAAGAAATCTACAACTTTAAAATGTACA